GAGGCTGAGGCTGTTCTCACACGGTGACGTGTGGGACTGCGAGTGCCGTTCTCAGCGCTCCTAGTGACACCGTCCCTGAAACTGTCGTCTTCCTCTTCCTCCTTCGCCTCCTTTCTCTTCGCGCTACCTTATCCTTTTCTTCTTAATATTGCGGCAGAGTACCTATCAGTGATGTGGTCAGACTTCCGTTCCTTGCGGATTCTTAGGCTGTTCGTCTGGAAGGAGCACTGGACGTCAGCTAGGCTGAGACCCTGCTGCGGCGGCTGGGCTGGGAGCCGCGGGGGGAAGGGCCGCGCTGGGTCCGCTGTGGGCGAGCGTCAGGCTGCTGCAGTCAGCCCGGACCCCTTCCCGCTCTTCCGCCTCCGGACGTGTGGGGACCCAGCCCGAGCTGACACGAGGTCGAGCACATTGCTTAATAAATTGGCCTAAGGTAAATTATTAATGAGGAATTCAGTGGATGTATTTCTAAGGGAGAGAATTTTTCGTGTTAAGCCACACTTTCGTTGGTTCTCAAAATGCTACAAGATCACTGTATCAGTAGAGTTGGTAAGGAAAAGTCTGAAGGACATCTTCCTGTGAGTTCTGACCCTTCCTTCTTCGCATTGTTTCAGCCTTGTTGAAAATATCACTACCCCTGATTAAGTCCTGTTTATAGAACAGACCATTCCGGACTAAGAGGCGCCCAGCTCTTCAAGAATAAAGAACCTTAGGCAAGAAAGGGACCAGTGACCACGGACTAAGATAGATGACCTCATGCCAGAATAATGAGCTTCCAGCTTCCTCTTTCTCTGCTACCCCAACTGCCCCGACCTAAACCCCTGATGCTGTAAGGGAGCTGCCCTGGCACTTTGGACCCAGTAGCCCCTATCAGGTCTTTATCCCAAATAACGCCTGACCTTGCTGCCAGTCTTTCTTCTTTACTTCTTAAGTAGTTTCTCTCCAGTTTAAGAACCCTGTCAGTGAGCCAGCATGAGCAAAACCTGGAGTAGGTTTGTAGGACGGATATTCCCAGTCTCTTCCTTTGAGTGTTGTTCATCACTGCTGTCAGAATCCAGAGTGTAAGGTTCATTACTTTAACCCTCCCATTTTCGTTGTTTACCTTATTTTTTTTTTGTGGTTTTTTTTTTTTTTTTTTTTTTTGTCTTGATGCTACCTTTTGGTCATCTCTTTCAGTGGTAGCAGATTTTATCTTGTTTTGCCAACAGGCAGAAACGTCTCACCTACCCCTGCATAGCTCCAGTCCTGGAGCTCCAGTCTCCACTTTGGAAATCTCTAAAATTTTGGCCTCAGAAATTCTTCCTATTGTCCTTTGCCTTTGTAGATCTACAGTTTTTTTGTTCTACTTTTACATACTTTCGTCGTGATTTTCTCGTGGGCTGGTTGTTCACGTGTTATGTTTTATATCTAGATGTCCCTCCAAAGCCTTGCGCACTCATAGGTGGGGCTTTGAGAGGTGACTGGATCATGGATGTGTGATAGTGGATATGTTTATAGATGGCTGTGATGCTGGAAAGTGAAGCCCAGTGGGAGGAGTTGAGTCTGTGTGGCACTCACAGCTTCAAATGTATACATACATGTATATCCCTCCTGTCTTGAGCACTTGCTTCCTTCTGACTGCCATGAACTGTTTCCTGTATGATGCCCCTCTGCCATGTTGCCCTGCCTTGAAGCCAGTATGGACAGAAACCTCTACAAACACGAGCTAAAATAAACCTTCCCTCCTTTAACTTGTGGGTGTCCCAGCAATGAGAAAGTAACTAAAACATCAGCTTTTTTCTGGTTCATCTTGCCTCCGTAGTCTATCTGGCTTGCAAGATCAGACAATTCAGTGATATTCTTCCTAGTATCTCTATGTCTTTTTGGCTCCCTATTTACCAAATATTTAATACGTACATTTTTAAGAGCTCAAATCTGTTAAAGAAACAGATCCATAAATTTAGGAGCAGGGACAGCCTGAGTTGTTTTGAGGTGATAAGTTAACGAATGAGACTGGGGGAAGGGTATTTCAGCAGGGGTATAGCATGTACAGAGGCAATCTCAGAGATTGTGTATAAAGGACAAATGGTTTGGCATCACCAGAATATAAAATCAGAGGTGAGCATCATGGAAAATGAAACCTAAGTAAGCAGGTCCAGAATACAGAGGGCCTTATCAGGGTTTTAATATAATCTTATAGGTAATAATTATTGCCCATTTTCCCCCAGGTAGCTACACAAACTATATTGCATACTTTGTAGACTGCCATATCAGACATATGTCCAGATACCTGAAGTGGTTCCACAAATAAAATAGACTTCAATTATGCTTATTTTCCATTGTGTTGGTTATACAACTCCATCCCTTTTTCACAAAGGTTCCTAATACTATTTACAGAGAAATTACAGAGGGATTACAGAGAGGTAATGATCAAATCTAGTTGTTTGAAAACTGCACAAGAAATGGTGGGAACAGAGGGATGGGATGCGGACAGTTGTACTCCACTGCTTTTTGAAACCATTTCCCTTGATTTGTAAAACACTACTGTACCTAAAATTTGTTAGCACTTTCTGGGGCTGCTTTTCCTGTCTGGCAATTTTTCTTACTCATTTTATTCTCCACCTTGAGGATGCCTTATAAAGCACTGGCCTTTGCCTCTCTCTTACCTCCCCCCCCATGATCTCATTTAGTCTCTACAGATCATGCCAAATTGAATTAAAGCCCAGTTCTTGTTAGCTCTGTTTACCTGTTTCACTTCCAATTGATAGTATATACCTGTCTCTAACATATATCTTTTTTTGCATTCCTCGGTTGTGATAATGGTACCACACTCTTAGCCTGCAAGCTCAGCACGTCATCTCCGTCTTAACTTCCTCCGTTACCTGCGATTCCCCATGGCCGCCCCCTGAGTTCAGAAGCTCATGACCTTTTCTTGATGTATTGCAGTAGTAATGTAGTTTCATTTGCCTCTAGCCTTGTTTCCTTCCTTCCATTCTAGGCACTGTTGCTACCTTTGTCATCCTATGTGTAGAGATACAATTCTAACTGTATTGTTGCTAAAAGCTATGATGACTAGGACTAACCTTTCACTCTATTTTCACTTATTTTTCTTCATTCACATATGTGTCCACCAAATGGAAAAGAAAATTATTCCACATATGTTCCTTTAGCTTTCCAAATACTGTCTCCTTGCTGCTGTGGTACCCCCAACTCCAGAAAGGGTTCTCTGTCTTAACTTATCAGTATACCACTTATGACTTTCACCCTGGCTGAAATGACTTCCTTGGAATTTTTTGTGTGGAAATAGTTTTTCTTTTTAAATTAAGTATTGTACAGTTTATTCACTTCTGGTATTTACTAGCTGTAGAGCTTTAGGCAAATTATGTGAAATCTCTGAAGTTTGCACGTGAATGAAATTGAAATTGGGGTGATAATGTATTTGTCTATACAAATAAACAAATACATATTTACATTTTAATATCACTGAATTATGAGTTTATCAATTACATGTTATGGTTTAATTGGCAGCTTTTTTCTTAGTGTTGTATAAGCAGTATAATCTCATAATTCAGGGCATCTTAAATTTGACAAAATATGATAATAGCATAAACTCATGGCCTTGGTGTTAAAGAATTTTTTGTATAAATGTGGAGCACGGGCACAAGTGAAGCTCAGGAAATGTTAGCTGTTATTATTGGTTGTCTTGGTCACTTTCTCATTATGGGGACTCAATACCCAACAACAGATTAAAGGGGAGAGGTTTATTTTGGCTCAGGTTTTCAAAGTTTCAGTCCTTGCGTGATGCAGCATGGTGGAAGGGCCTGGGTAGGTGAAAGCTGCTCACCCCCTGGTGAACAGAGTAGAGAGTGGGAAAGAAGGAGCCTGTGAGAGACATACACCCTTTTAGGCAACACCCCCAGTGACTTCTTCCAACCAAACCCCACCTCCTGACAGGACCTTTAGCTCTAAGCTCATCTGTGGACTGATCCATCAGTGAGTATATTGCCCCCATGATCCCATTCACCTTCCACAAGCTTTGCCTGTGAGTGTGTAAGTCTTTAGGGGCACATTGAGATATAAATCATAACATTGGGTATAGGTTACCCCTGACTTACAGCCTTAGGGATTTCTAGAAAATGAACCAAATAGGAATGTCATTGGGTTGAACTCTTAGTTGCAGTATTTACATTTCATGTAAAGGCTAAAGTTGGTTATGAAAGGAAGAATGAAACACAGTAAATGTATTTTGTACACATTTGTTAACAAACAGATATGACCAGTCCTTATGTGTGCTTTATTATAATGAGCTTTCAGTGGCTTTTTTACATGAGGTGGACCAAGTACAATATGGGTGCGATGAGTCGTTCATATCACAGCCAAAGACCTTTCTAGTAATGGCAGGTATTCATGGTTTCAAGACCTTGAGTTTCAGTTACATAAAATGAAGGCATATGTCTGAAAAATATTATTGATAGTATATATTTATGATGGCCTCAGGAAGTTCCTGGGTAGTTGAACCAAACAGTTTCTGTGGTGACTTGAGTGATCCTGTGGTGTTCAATTTCACAAATTCTGGAGTTGCGGCCGGTGCTTTTCAGTTATGGAGCAAGGCATAGGCTTTTCGCACAGGCTTCAGGACCATCCCTGCAGTTTGAAGCCTCTTTTTCACATGGTTTTGAATGCAATTTCCTTTGTTACTGTTTTTCTCTCCTCCGTTAGTTCAGCCCTTCTTTCATTAAACCAGTATTATGGAGTCAACAAGGTCCTGCTGTGTTCTGGCCTGGAGCTCTCCCGCCATTTGTATAACACAGTGCTTTTGTGGAGCAGTAGATGTAGGGCAACAGAGAGAGTTTATAGACAGACATCAGCTGTAAAGTGATTTATAAAGATTTCTTATTTATGTAAGTGTTGACTTACATGTCTTCCTTATTGTATTGTAAGTAATTTGATGTTTAGGGCCATAGTTAATTCCTTTTATAATTTCATGAAAGGTGGTAGCAGCTGAGTATTTGTGAAAAGATTAAGTTTGTCCACTTACAATGTAGAAAATAGCAAGAAGATATACAAGTATAAAAGCCAGTGATAATGTGACTATCCTTGGCTGGTATCCAGTGAGAAGTGTCAAATTTTGTGAGCCTGGTATTATTATTTTTTAAGAACCTTTATGTATGGCTAGAGATTTCAAAATAAATGGTAAACTACTTAATATTTTAACTGATTTGTAAAATGTCAAGAGAGTTATCTTCTATAGGTATTTCCAGATTAAAGAAAACTTTCACTTTAAATTGACTAGGTTTTGATTTGTTTCTGCTTTTAAGACGTTTTAAAACCTCTTTTGATTTGTTTTTGCTTTTATTGGTTTAAAAAAAAAACCAATAAAAATTATACAGAATTTCAAAACAAGGTGATAGGAAATTAACAATGGCTATTAACAATGGCTGTTATATTGCATATTGTTATCTTTAAAGTAGTTGCTCAGATTACTAGATGCAGGCATGCAACACTGATAAAACTATATAAGCACTAACTGTTCCTTTCAATGAACTAGTAAAAATTAGTAGTATAATTATCTTAGCTATCTGTATATGTATGCATGTCTTTTTTTTTCTCCCTTGTTTTTTCTCTTCCCCCATCCCAGTTGTTCTTTCCTTTTGAGCAGTTTCTTTCCCTTTCACAATATCTATTGTACCTTTTGGATCTTATTTACTCTTTCAGGTTCTTACACTAGGGAGACAGTATGACATTTACACATGCGGATCTGATTTATTTCACTTATGAGTATATTCTCCATTTACCTATAAAAGACTCGAGTTTTATGTTGCTTGGGTATTTTCCCAGAAGAAATGAAAACACAGTGATGTATGTGCACCTATGTTTATAGCAGCACGTTTGTCATAGCTAAATCTTGGAAATAACACAAACCTAAATTGACTAAATTTTAGCATTTTAGTATTCTGTTCAGTCTATTTTTGTGGAAATGAAAACACAGACTATGAATCAATTTCTAGAACTGAGTAGTGATGAACATCGGCTTTAGGAACTAGGTTAATAACATCTGTGTTTATTTTCTTACAGTATTATCAGAAAATCCACCCAGCTTCACCATTACTGTGACATCTGATGCTGGAGAAAATGATGAAAGTAAGTGTGAGAGAATATACTTAGAATTTTTCTGAGCTGCTATCTCAGGAGTTTCACTCATTCCACAGTCATGGTGCTGGACCAGGCAGATGTGGGCTTCTAAGGTGCTGTTAAGAACCTAGCACGATATGTTGGTATTCTGTATTTACTGTGGCAGTGTGACTCCTGAAGAAATGGGAAACCAAGATACAGTGTAGTGCAGTATTCTTGGTTTTTAAAAGTGAAGCAGAAACATCAGCAGTACAGCAGAAGAAAGAAGTTTTTGTCCAAAACAAGAGTTTGTATGCATATATTTTTTAGTTATGTGGAATTCCATTATTATTATTCTGTGGCTTTTTTCATTAAGAATGCTTATAAATAGTATGGGATACAACTGTCTGCATTTTTTTTCTCTCTTAAACTAGCAATAAATTAACACCAGTAAGTTAAAATTTAAAACATTAGCAGATTTGATGAATAATTAAGATATTGTCTTTAGTTCATTTCCAACTATATGTGGAATTGTTAATTGTTTCCTCCCAAATGTTTTTTCCTGTTACACTGGTAAGCCAGAGTTCTGCCACGAGCAATCAGTAAGAATGAATTTTAATGCTATCATGTGATAACTCTACATCTGTTTTGTACAATTAAAAATAAGGTTACCATTGAGATATTTTGAACTCTGAATGAAAAGGATGTTGGATATAGTTAGTTATTATTAAATTAATACTGAGTATACGCTTATAGATAGGAACCTAAAATATTTTGATAAGACATTAAAATATAAAATAAATATTATACCAATTTCTTCATTATTTGGGAGCTTATAAAGAAGGTAGTGGCGTCATTTGGTGTTCCTCTGATATGGTAACATGTGCCAGAATGGAGTGATGGTACTCATTGATAAAAATCCAAATTAACATTTATGTTAAGATTACACTGTTTTCATAAAATTAAAAGCTGTCCTCAGATCCTTCCCATATTCTGAACATTAGCTTTACTAGGAGCTAATACTAACTTTGTAGTAATACTTCTGTACATTTCATCATGACTGATTTGACAATACTTTTTAAATTTGTTTGAAATGAGTCCTCTATCATACAAAATTAACCAACTAGTGTCTACTAGCAAGCAAGCTAGCAAGGGGAATGGACATGTAGTTTCTAGAGGCAGCATTATAAATTATAAAAAAAAATTAGTCTCATTAGCAATTAAAAAAGCAAATTAAAATGGAAGTATCGTTCTCATCCAATAAATTGTTATCTTGGTGAGAGAAAGCATTGTGATTTTGTGAGTGAGTATAAATTTATAGGCATGTTAAACAGGAGACTTATAATTTTCCATATCCTTGATGGATATGTATTTATGGGATATTTAGGCTAAGGAAACTATTGTGACACAAATATAATACATACAAGGATGTTATTGTAATTGTTTCTGTCTTAACCAGTGATTGGTGGCATACTTATAGAAATATGCTTGTATTTAATATTTAAGAAATTGAATGGATGTTTGTGTTGTTTGAAATTGTGTACCCATGTATTTTATATTTTCCGTTTTATTTTAAATTGATGGTTATGTGGTACAATGTAATGTTTTGCTATGAATGTACAGTATATTATGAGATGATTAGATCATATATTAGATCATGATGATAATTAGTAGTAATATAATTGATTCACAAAAACATAGTGTGAAGTATATTTTTAGGTACAGCTCTAACATTTTTAAAGTAAATATACTAAAATGATAACAGTGAACCCCTCCTGGTGATGGGATTGTGTGTGGTTATATTTTCCCCTACTATGTTCCTTAATTTTCTATAATGAATGTCCACTATTTCTTGTTGTGGAATCAGTTAATCTTATTTTAAAAAGCTTATTCTTTTGAAACAGTTAAACATATATACAGTCCACCAAAAAATGTATATATGAGGGAAAAAAACCTGTATAAATATTTTAATACTACATTTATTTTTAAATTATTTTGAATAAATTAAGTTCGTTGGTATAATTAGGTGTATACAATGATCACGTTTATCATAGGGAATTTGCACCTGTACATGATACACCTTGATTTGTCTTTTTTCCCTCTCCCATTCCCTTCCCCTCCCTTCAACCCCTCGTCTCCTCCTTATTTACAGGTTTGTTTCTATTTTATCCTTCTTTTGTCTTCTTTTCCCTTTCTTTCTCTCCTGCTTCCAGTTCTGCTTTCCTTTTGAACAGTTTCTTCCCATTTTTCCTTATTTCTTGTACAATTTCTTGAGACATCATGAGGTTAATACAAGTTACCTTTGGCCTCTACAATTACAAGAGGTGCTCAAAGTGGTGGCCATTAGCTTCCAGACATTTATTAGTATGGCAACTGCTGAATATATACATTTTTATGGTAGAACTTAGGTATATATATTCCATCTCACCATGTAGTTAAGCTCATCTTGAACTCACTGTGTAGCCTAGGCTGGCCTCGAACTTGAGGTGATTCTCCTGCCTCAGCCTCTGTAGTGTTGGGATTACAGGTTGTGTGCCACAATACCAAGTGCTTAAATATGTTTTTATATGCCTACAGGGTGAAATTCAGTTTGCAGATATTAAGCTTTATGTTGAAGAATATTCTCAGAATCTCACACTAATGAACACGAGACAAGTAAATTATAAAACCAGGAAAAACTGATATTCCAATAATAAAATATTGTATTACATCTACTTTTTAATCTTTTTGTCTTGATAATATGCAATAGTAATCTCTTAGCAATTTTTAATAGGATACATTGGGCTGTGAGTATAGCACAGTAGTTGAGTGCTTGCCTAGCATGTGCAAGGGAAGCTACTATCCCCAGCTAGCGCTGCAAAAAAAAAAAAAAAAAAATTATAGTTAGTATGTTATGTATCCCAGCCAAGTTTGTCATGGAATTTGTGCTGGGTGTGGAGCTGATCTTGGCGTTTGGATGTGGGCCTGGGACTGGTCTTCTTCTGGTGGAGCTCTACACAGCGCAACTGCTGGTTCCTTGCTGCTGCTGCTTCAGACATTTCCACGTTGCTGGCCTCACTGATAACACTGTGCACCAAAGGCATGTGGGCACCTGCACGCTGGGGCCACCTGGCCTGAGTCATTGTGTATGGTTACCGTGTTGTATTGTAGATCCCCCGAATTTATTTATCCTACCTAAAATATATATCTTATGAACAACATCTCTTTATCCCTCAGTGTTCAAGTCTCATCTTTCATTTATTTATTTTAGTATTCTGTCCTTTTTTCTTAGTCTAGCTATGTTTCATTGGTCTTTTCTGTGGTTTTTCTAGCCTGTACTATATTTCATTTTTTCTCCTCTGATGGTTATTATTTTCTCTCTGGTTGATTTTATATGTAGGTGGGTTTTTCCTCTACTTCCTTGAAGTATGAAGTTAGGTTGTTCATTATTACTTTTTGATGCTGACATTTATTGCTATGAGCTCTCTTAAAAGTGCTTTTGCTACAGCCTATAAGTTTGTGTATGTTGCACTGCCATTTGCATTTGGCTCCAGATACTTTTGACTTACCTGTTTTTGTTTGTTTGTTTGTTTGTTTTGAGACAGTGTCTCACTATGCAGTTCAGGCTGGCCTTGAGTTCACTTTGTAGCCCAGGCTGGTCTTGAACTCACAACGATTCTCCTGCCTCATCCTCCCAAGTGCTGAGATTATAGACATGCACCACCATGTCTGGCTTGACTTGCCTTTGAGTTTCTTCACTGATGAATTGATTGCTGTCAGTGCTAGAGCTGAGGGTAGAAGGAAGAAGGGAAGGATATTGGCTAGCAGGGTATGTAGGTTTAGGTATGCAGTATAAATAAGTTGTGATCTTAAGTGTTTTCATCAAACATACAAAAAATTATAACTGAAAGATAGTGGTTATATTAATTAGCCTGACTGTGCCAGTCATTTCATAATATATGTGGATCACACACCATATGTGTAATTTTTATTTGTCAAGTGCACCTCAGGAAACCTGGGCAAAAATAAAAATTAAAAGTTCATATTTTATAGCCGGGGATATGGCTCAGCAGCATAAGCACCTGCTTGGCAAGTGTCAGGTCCTGAGTTTGATTCCCAATACCGAAAAAAAACCTCATATTTTAGCAATCAAATCAAAAATACGATAACAAAGGGAGACAGAAAAATGGAAGAAGACACTGTATTCCTTCCTCACTCTTGAAAATGTTTTGTGTTTATTGACTCATAATGTTCTTTATGAACATCGTGTATGAAATGTATAACATAATATCAAACCTGCAACTTTTGAGGCACCTCTTAAGCCCTTGCATGAAGAGCAACATGGACTTGAGTTACTTCATCACAATCAACAGGTTTTAATAAGTAAATTCTGTGTTATAATAAACATGACTCTGGATAACAGATCACTGTGAATAATGAAGTTTTCACAGGAAATGTTTAGCATTGTTGCATAGTTTCTAGCTGTCAGGTAGGATAGAGAACTCAGTGCACCAAGTTGTGGAGAAATTACTGGCACTAATATGTTCATGAGAATGTGCTGTATACAAAGTTAGAGTTATAACATGGCAGATAGCATCTCAAACTGGCCAGTTCAAAACTGTGTTATCTCACCACCAGCTAGCAAAATCTTGCTAGCAAATGTTAATATAGTTTCCTATAATGTACAGCCAAATTGTATTTTGCTCTCACTGGGTTTTGTGGAGGCTGAAAATGAGCCTGCTGTAGTATTTTTTCTTTTTATTTATTTATTTATTTTAAAAATAAAAGGAGGCAAACATTAACAGACAGACAACCTTTTACAAAATAGCATAAGAAGAGTACAGACAACACAGAGTTACAAACAAAGTGGTAGGAAGTTAACAATTGTTATATTACATATTGTTGTATTACATATTGATATCTTCAAAGTGGTTGCTCATGAAAACAGATACAGACATGCAATACTAATCAATCAAGGACTCATTGACAGTTTCTTTCAGCAAAGAGAAGACAGTAGAACAACTATGTTAACTATACTGTATATACATACA